GTATTCTTTGCTGGAAATTATGGGAAGTTAGGAATTACACGTCTCTTAAAAAACTTTTTGCCAATGACATTGAACAACAGAGAGCATTTTGGAATGTATTATTATTAAATTGATTTTGTAAATCCTCTTTCATAGCGACAGCTATATAAATATATGTACAATTTTTTTGAAGGAAAATAATCCTTTTATCCAAAAAGAAATTTGAAGAGAGGTGATATGTGAATATGAAGGGATGGAGAATGAATGAATATTGAGAAATGATGCAGGGTGGTCCAGGAAGAGTGTCCCCAAGAAAACTAGCAAGTATGGGGTTGGGGTCCCGCTGCTACTGCTACTAATACGTGCACTCTCTTTCTGTGGAAACATTATTTGTGTCAATTCTGCCAAATACCATATTCTCTTGTTTCTTTCTGGCCAAATACCGACACCATTCCTGAATGCGACTTTTCACTTCACTACTCTCCCAGTATTCATATGCTACCAAATTCATCATTGTTTCCAGCAGATTCATGAACATGTTCCACCGGTACTCGTAATTTGTCTTTGTTCCCCAGATTCGTGAAAACCCCATTGAACCCGGTCCTATACCTACTATATATACAAATACTCCTTTTCGTATATAAACCTGTGTTATTGCGTTTTTAGGAAAACTAAATTCCCCTAAAGATCAGAACTTGCTTGTCCTGGACTCAGCACCAGGTTGGTAATATATTTAGGGTTATACCGCCTATATAAAGAATGAAACTGCTTCTCCATTATTGTTGATGCGGCCCCAGAATTGTCCTTTATTGTGAAGTCAATTTTTTTTTGCCTTCTCATTCTCATTGAATTTCCTTCAACTAGTCGCAGAAAGAACCCAGAGGCAGTGGTCTGACTTGATTAATTTAGACAATTAGTGGAATCATGAACCTAATTGTTCCATTAATTAATTAATATGAATGGAATCTCTGTTATTACTATGGAAATGAACCGTACAAGAGCTCCATTAATATTACCCTTCCTCACAGGTCTCGATTATTGTTTTTTCTTCTTCTCTGTGTTCGTAGACAATCGAGGATAAAGAGATGGGATTATCTTACAAAAACTGGGACCATTACCCCTTTGTCCTATTCGTGATTTCAGTGTCAGTCTCGGATGTTGTACGTGGCTATGGATAAGAAGGAAAACAAGCCCGATCGCATGAGTATCTCTAATGCTAGTTTCATTAATCTATAATAAAATCAGATTTGTGTCTAATTTGTTTCAAACTTACTTCATTATCAATCCTCCTTTCTTTTTCCTCCTTTTGGTTTGTTGTTTTCACGTGGGCGCTTAGTGTCTGCTGATAAATTTAGGCATGTATCCACGCGGTGGTTGATTAATGAATTATTTATTGGCTTGATGATCAACATCAATGTATAATCAACTCGAGTATAGCCTAATTTGATGCATTATTATTTAAAAATCACATTTTTCCACATGTAGTTCATGTGATGATTCCCAGCAACGACTGCGAACCACTCTTGTTATAGATTTATTAGGCTTCATCATAAATTATGAAGAGAAGCACATGGCATAACCACGGACATGACATCTCAAGAGAACCGTGGTCAATGCTTTATACTACTTCCGGTCCTTAATATAAGATCTTGTTTGACTTTTATTTTGATCCTAAATATAAAACCCCAATCCATTTTACTAGGACTGCACATGGACAGGGCAGGGCAGGGCAGAACCCTTGCCCGATGCCCAGCCTGAAGAATGAACGGGTTGGAAAATACAGCCCGTTACCCAACCCTACCCATGAAAAGTCCTATTAAGTTCGGACTGGGCAAATGTGGGCTGGGCAGAGCGGGGTTTCATGCCCAACAAGTTAATATACTACATTAATTAACCAATTATTTATGTCCCTTTAAATAATCTAATGTAACTTTATATTAAAATGGCAACTTGGCCTTAATTTTGTTATTAATAATTAATATACTATGAAACTACTTTTTGTAGTAGCTAGGAGGAGTGGACTATGACAAAAAAAATATTATTTGTATATTTTATTAAACTGAATTGTTTTTCTAATTTCTAACTTTTAAAATCATTCAAAAATAAATAAGTATAATAAATACTGAATATTGATGCAACAATATGTTTGATTCAGGAAATAAATGAGGCAATTAAAATATATGTAAATAAAATTATATATATTATTGCGGGCAGGGCCAAATGGACAGGGCAGCATACTGTGCCCGATGCCCAGTCCTGCCCAACAATTTGCCCAGCCCAAACATGCCTAATAGTTCTTTTGGGCCATTTTTTTTAGGACAGACTGGGTTTTTTTTTTTGCGGGTTTGGGCGGGCAACTGGGCTTCATGAACACCCCTACATTTTACCTCTCATATTTGTACAATTTTTTCCAAGGTACTTCTTCTCATAATAGTAGTTTTAACCAATACACTTGATTAGCAAGGATATTTTAGGAAAGATAATATCTATTTATTACAAATAACTAACTTAACTTATTTCCTTAATCTCCTCAAAGTAGTTGACTAACTTTTATATTTAGGACCGGAGGTAGTAGTTTAAATTATACTACCTTCGGTCCTAATTATAAGAGCCAATTGACTAATTTGAGGAGATTAAGAAAGTAAGTTGAGTTAGTTATTTGTCCTAAATAGGTGTTATCTTTCCTAAAATATCCTTGCTAATCAAGTGTATTAACTAGAACTATCATTGTTAGAAGGGCTACTTTGGAAAAAAAATGTATAAATATGAGAGGCAAAGTGGATTGAGGTCTTATATTTAGGACCAAAATAAAAGTCAAATAAGGTCTTATATTAAGGACCGGAGGTAGTACTAGTATTTGTCATGGGCATCAATTTATACATAAGAGGGGGTTATCAAAGTGAAATTGTAAGAATTGAAGTTAATGTATTCAGAAGTGCTAGATGCTGAGTTTCCTAGGTATCACAAAAGCCCAATTGACCAATTTGGAGAGATTGAGGAATTTACCAAATAACACAATTATAGTATATGTTACATGATCTTTTTAAGATATTTATGTAGATTATTAGATTATATATTAATTTATAAGTGAAGCAAATTTATTTAGAGAAAAACGATAAATATAATAAACAGTATATGAGAAAGGAAATGTATGATTTTACTTATTCCATATTTGGATTTGTTCATTTTCCTTGATTTTTACCCTTTTCTCTGTTTCTGTCTCTCTCAGACATGAGGACTAGGTGGGTGGAATTCTTAGAAAGCATTTCATAGAACATAAATGCAGGGTGTGGCTGACAATGGATAGTTTAATTTGAAGACGAGCAGTTTCTACACAAAGGGGTTGGAGCCTTCTAGTACTTTAATTTGTCTTGTTCATTGATCATTGATAGTATAATAGTCATGTCTTTTTACGGAGCTGTCTGCGACCTAAAGAGCCTATTTTTCTCCACTCAGTTCATCATCATTGCACGTGCATCAGAAACTGAGTGGTCGCCCACCATGTCGTCCTTCTTCTAGTACTTCTCAGGTTGAACTGGAAGCATCTCTCATACTAGTCTGGTTTGTTTCATTCGTCCATAAGAGAGCCTTCAATCTTATTACCAGGTAAAAAAAAAGAAGAAGCCTTCAATCTTATTTAAATGGCAAAAAGTCTTAAAGTGCTTGTTCACTTTTGTTTATGAACAATAGTATTACTTAAAATTGTATATAGTAGGCCCTCTCCAATTCAAAAATTTGATCTTTTCCCCCTCATCGTATCTTTAAGTCTTACATAAAAAGAAAGTCCAGAACTATTTTTCTTATGATCACATATAATTTCGAACCAATAAATTTCACAAATATCCGGTGAAAAATCTGTCATCCTCACGGTTGATTCTTGAAATGAAATATACTTCACTTTTCTCCAAGGGTTTTTTTTTTTTTGGTTGCCTACCCAGTTCACCGGATTCAACCCGCATTACGCACCTGGCTGTGGTGGGTGAGTCTCTCAATGGAGATTTCTGCATATGCTGAGGCTAGAACTCGAGACCTCCCTTAAGCGATACCAAGCCGCTTACTACTTGGACCAACCCAGTTGGTTCTCCAAGGGTTAATTATATCGAGTCTGTGGAGCTATTTTTAGTGGCCCAACTTAATATTTTGACATTCATGCAGACCTTGAAAAGCCCATACATTCACCGGGAGATGGGCCAATGTCGTAGTTGTATTTCTAGGCCCAAAAACCCAAATCAAACATCGAATGAAGAAAAGTTTGGGAGAATGTCTGTCTGCTCATGCAATCACAAATAGATGACTCTCTCTCTCTCTGTGTTTCCTGATTTCCTTCCTTCCTTTTGAATCCAGTTAGTAAGCAATACTGTGGATATCATAGTATTTATGGTCTAAATATTTAAGGTCTTCATGTTTGATGATCTGAGATCAAATCCAAAGAGGATCAATCTGCTATCTCAGCACAGCTAAATAATTTCAGATGACGTCTACTTGCACCCATGATTGGTGCAGGCAAATCTACTCTCGGACCAGTTGGAGGCCAAAGTTTATAATTAATTGGTGTAGTCAGTACACTCAATTACTTCGGTTTGCTGGATTAATATGCATTTTCATGAATTTGTCAAACAAAGAGCACCTTATTGTTTGTACAATTATAATGCATTTAATTCCGGGGGGCTATTTAACATTTCATCTTTCTTGCACTCTGGTCCCCAGGTTCCCGTGTTTCTTTCAGCTCAAAGGGAATTGAACCCAATTTTATGGTTCCATTCTGTCCTCATGTGTGACATTTGTCAGTGTTCTCGTTTCGGGCAATATTGTGAGTTGCAAGTCACTAAAGATATGTGGAGTATTATGTGCTAACTTTTAGGTTCTGGGAAAGCCGAAACGTTAGATCGTAATTTCAGTTTACTTTCATCCTGTAATTGACAACAGATCTTTTTCAGAAAGCTAATCTGAAGCTTTAATATTTGGTTTAGTTGATTCGAACTTTAGATATGGATCACAGAGCTTAAGAAGCACATAAATTCTGGGAGAACAAAGTTCACTCTGATCCGCATTCAGTTTCTTGGCAGCTTTACCATCCCATGATATCAGGTCATTACTGGAACAACAGGCGGGAGGGTCTTGTTCGAAGCTTCCTTCATGGCATTGCTCATGTTTTCGAGAAATGATAACTGGAATTCAAGTCCTCTTGATATGAAGAAAAAACTCTACATTAAAGAAATTTCTTTAACTTATCAAGCGAAATATTATTTATAAAAGTACATCATGCTCATGGTCCCATTATTTTATCCCCAACTCATATTTAGTCATTATGGGTTTATTACGCACAATCATCATGAACTCATCAGCCATCAGGACTAGAGATACCGACCGAAATCCTCTTGAGCCTGCAAAACCAAGTCGTCGTCATCCCAGTGATCGCGGTAAGTCGCAGGTCGGAGGGCCTTGCCCTTGGATGTGGCTATATACATCATCTGTCTCCATTCTTCCAGCGGAGGAATCCCACACTGAGCTGCAATCCAGTTATCGTAGTCCCACTGGAGCATCACATCCCAACCAACCACAGCATATTAAGTATTTTAGGGCATTATCAGATGTCTGAGCACATTGAAATAGCTGGATACATACCTGACCCTCAGCTAGGCAGTGAGCATAACGCTTCGGCGTCCCTGAGGCTTCCATAGAAGAGTAAAATGCCCTCACATCTTCCATCATTTCCTCTTTAGAAGGCAGTGCAATGCGATTTGACAATATTCCAGCTATCCACTTGCTCTGCAGTTCGCATATTATGAAGGGGAGAACCTGCAACCAAATTGAGGGACTCCTTGAGACATTTTGGTTTCATCCCCAAAAAAGAAAAGAAAAGAACAGACCTTCCATGGTATTCCAACAAATGAAAGCCACGGGGCCAATGCCGGAGGGAAAACATGTTTGTAGAGTGGTTCCACACTGTTATCATCTACTGTAACTGCACCATCGGTATCAAGGAAAGGGAAATCATACTTGTACCTGTATAAGGAACAAACAGCCAATCGAAATGCTTTCAACTTTTTACTACTCGTTGAATTTGCGTTTTAATTGAACGCTGTGCGCCATAATTAGTTTCTTGAATAGAGATTGATAGAACTAATGGAAAATCGTCAGAAAATACCCAGTACAATGTAGAATGACATCCGCATAAACTGCATTTCCATCTTTAAAAACAACTCTTCCATCTTCATGGACGCTGTCAATCTGCATTGTTCAACGCATTTTGATAAACCATTCTAAGCAGCATTTGCCAAATAAATTGACTGATCCTCATGATCGCCATCCCATCCAATTCTCACCATAGACGACAAGTTTTACCATAGAATGAAGCCACATGTTCTCAAATCCAGGTATCTTTCCAAGTTTATCATCAGCAACAGACCTAGCAGCAACATGGACTTCTTTTGCAACTCCAGAAATTTCTATTGAGATGTCGACACCACTAGAGGCAAAACCTATGACAACCACAACCTATCCAAAGAGTAATGGAAAACTAAATCAGAAATTGCCAAATCAAGTTGACGGCAAAATCATGATTCCATTAGTTTTTTCCTTGGAATATTTGAGCGCCGTGCAAGAGGCAGCTTAAGTTGAATTTCTTTTAGATCTCTCCTGCTATTGTACGTATTTTGAGATAAGTTACATGCAACTCTCCAAATTAGGATTTTATGAACTCTTACATTGGCAATCATCCATTGGGAAAATATAGCCATGCTCTTTTTCTGAAGTGGACCATCAAATTATCATAATAAATTTTCATTCTTGAATGAATGTTAAAGAATGAACAGTTGACCATCCACCTCTTACAAGTTATAAAAGAGTTTTTTCCCCACTAAATTAAAAATTGGCGAGAATGGAGCTGTCGCCAGAAACACAAAGAGATATGGGGTCTTGTAATCTTGTTATTTGTAAGGGAGGGCCATAGTAATGCTGAATACATCTCTAATTGTGACTTTCTCCTCGCTATTGGGCCCATTTTGAGTTCCTCTTCAATGAAGTTTCAAATTAAGAGTAACAGGGGATGTCCATAAACCAAATTACATTGTCGTGCTTGTATTCAACTATATGGACACAATTAGCTGACGGAAAACGATAATGAAAGCCAATAAACATGATAGGTAAAAGATGACAAAAAACTGCAGTAGCAGATACTCAACAACAACTTATGGAATAGAAAATGAAGGAACCTGATACATACTTCATCTTGAAAGGGCTCAGGTGTACGATAATTATGGCCATGAATCTGCTTCCCCGGCCATACTTTTATGCCTGGATGCAAAACAATTGCCACGAGGAAGCCATCAATGAAAAGCATGAATCGGAGCAGCACGCAAAGCGTCTATTTTTATACAGTGGCATGGCGGCAAGGGTAAAGCGCCAAAAACGACAGCGAGTAGCTTCATGAAACGCAAGCGAGTAAAGTAGTAGTTTATGGGTGATTAGTACTGTCATTTGGAGTCTTGATGTTAAGTTTTATGTATGAAATGAATCAAATAAGAAAGGAAAAGTTACCGGGAATATGAGCTACGCGAGGCTGAGTGAAGTGTCCATTGCAAACGACCAGAGCATCGTAAATTTCATCCACACCAATCCCACTTCTGCCTTTTGATCTCACCCTCCATTTCCCGCCATCTGCCAACTTCGCCGACAAAACCTCCGTCTCGAATCGCACCAATTCATTGATCTCAAACGCAGACGCAAAGTCTTGCAAGTACATCAATACCTCTTTGTGACCCGGAAATCTTCTCCCATCTCTGCCGTTGCCTTCCCGCTTTACAAACGGGTAATCTAGAAATCCCATGACTTCCCTCGGGAGATTGGTGCGGAGCGATTGGTAGAGGCTGGAATGGACCACAGCTCGATCAGGATTCGTCCCAAGCGGGTCGGACTCTACCTTCGGGTTATAGATCCACGTGCCCCCCACCTGGTCACCTTGCTCGAAAACTACAACTCGATGGCCTTCTCGTCGGAGTTCACGGGCGGCGACAAGCCCGCTAGCCCCAGCGCCTATCACTGCGACGAGGCGAGATGGTAGTGGGGGGACTGCGGTCGACATAGGCTGGTGTTGGATTGGCCGCAGCAAATGGACGAGAGCAGCCGAAGATGCAGTCATTTTGTGAACACACATCTTACTTATACCGGTGACTCCGATTACGCCAATGCCAATAGCCCCTCCGTGACTCCCTTTTGTCATCTTCGTAACGTTGACAGTAACTTTCAAACAATTTTTACATGTTTTTAAAAGTGATTTTTGCCCCCAACGTACAGGTAAGAGAAAGATTGTTCTCAGCATGTGCATGTATAGTATAAAAATTAATTGACTAATTTAAATAAGTTAAAAAAATTTATTAAGTTAGTTACTTGTAATAAATAAGTGTTATCTTTCTTAATATACCTTTACTAATTATATATGTTAGTTAAAACTATCATTTGATTTAACTTTTTATTATTTAATCAAACATTTAATATTTTCAGCTATTACAAGAACTACCTTTAAAAAAATAAATAAATATAAAAAACAAAATAAATTAAAATTTTATATTTAGTGTCAAATTAAAAATTAAATTAGTTTTTATATTAACTACTGAGATACCATAACCACTTATTATAATTGTGAGTAAAACAAGAAAGTATAAAAAGATGGAGGAAATTTTTAGCATTTTGATTTTCGAAGGGCTAGCACCAGAGCGTCAAGCTTACGACCGTTTCTTTTATGAAGATTTGAGGGGTGTTTGGCAAAATCAAAACCTAAGTTTCAGAATCACCTTTTCGCAAAACGAGGTAACCTCCTCTATATATTTATTTCGTAATCCGTAAAAGCACTTCTGAAACCATGGTTTGGTTTCTATCCAAACACCCCCTTGATACCAATTCCATGCCACACGTGTTGTGGGCTTCAGAATGGATGGGGTCCTCTTTTGCATTTTTTTAATATAGTGTGAAAATACGTAGCCTTTGTGCAGAGCATGGGAGGATGTAATCCAGATCATGGGTCCACTTTTCTGTCACCAACTCTGCATTTACTTCATAGGTCATATAGGATTCAGAGTAACTTGAAATAGACACAGCCGGCCAGCGCATGTGTGGCGCAGTGGCATGATAGCCACCTGTTGGTGGCTGCTGTCAGGGTTCGATCCCTGTCTTGCAAGATCTGCTTGCCTACTAAAAAAAAATAGACACACCCGGGAGGGAAAAAAAGAAAGAAAGAAAAATACAAACTCTCAGTGGGAATGCAAATTTCTGCCGTTTGTGAACTGGTCGTCTCAAGTGGAGGAAAGATTAATATGCGCAGTGAGATGAAGGAAGAGTAAGAGAAAGCTATCCTGGAGAGAGCCTATCAAATACTGTTTTCCTTTCTGAGATGATGATTAATTGATTATGAATAGATTGACTTATAAACTCAAAGGTTTGGTTTAAAGATCATTATATGGTCTGTGTGACTAAAATTTTCCGTGACCCTTCAAAAGTTTGTCGGGAATGTCACAAGATCATAAATTCAACAATCAAGCAAGAAAGTAAAGTCAGGTCACGCAGAATCAAACTTTTCGGATTTACTTTTGATACGACTGAGGAGGTCACCTTTTACTCTACGAGGAGGAAGAACGAAAGCAGTTAGTGCTCTTTAGATGCTTCAGTCTTCCAGGTGCCCGCGTTCTGTTCCAATGGGCCCTAACAGCCAAGGTGAGCTCACTGCTCACTGGGACCAGCTGTATTGGAATTGTAAAGTCTCTGGTCTGGTCACTGCATTAGACTAACCTTGACAACAAAAATGTTTGGCCCAAGTGGGAGCTTTCACACTGTCTATCCGCATAATTTTTAATTTATATAATTTTTTGCTACGTTTTTATTTATCTAATCTAGAAGCACGGCTTACGCATATAAATATGTCAACAAGTCCAAGACCTTATTTAAGTGTGGTGACATATATGATCTATCTGCCTATCTAGCTAGCACCGATGCAGCAACTAGAAGTCTAGAACGATGAGGGGGGGGTCTTTACTCGAGTCTGGCTGAATCAGAAATGATCTAATGTTCCTGGGTGTCAGCTTCACAAGAAGGCTAGAGCGGTCTAATACTTGAAGAACGCAATTCTGGCTCTTGTTTCCTCATCGTCAAAGCCATATTAAACAGAAGGCTCCGGCTCGGGGAAAAAGTTTCCTTTTTAATTAAGAAAGGAAGAGAACGGAATATTAATTAGGCAGGATCCAGGAAATTTTAATGTCAAGAGAATACCAGGAGATCAGATCTCCGATGGAAGACCGAGGACACTGATGCACATTTGTGAGACCCACGGTGAAACAAGCTTTCAGTTCTTGTCTCTTCAATTATGCAGAGTTCTATATCGCATTAGATTCATTCGTGTATGCAGGGGAAGGGTCCCTCCTCTTTTCTTCTCATTCTTCCCCTCATCTTTTTAATCTAACTTTTAGGTTAACGATACAAATTTCATTCTTTTCAAATTATTATTAAAATATTAAATTATAAAAATAAATAAATAATAAAGCACGGACTATTAAAATTTAATTTCAACAATTTATAAATACACTGAAGGATTTTAAAAACATTTTATAAATAAGTTTTCAAAACATTAAAATTTAAACTATTAAAATGTGTCAGTCTAGTTGTTAGAAGAGAGGAGAAAGCCTTCTCTCAAGTATCTGAAGGTTTTGTTTATTTGAAAACAATCTTCACATAAATTACCAAATAAAACCCCAGCCGCAAATAACAAATCGTTTTTCTTGTCCTTCCTTAAAAAATTGGAGGATATTGCTTTATTTATTTATTTTAAGTTTTGAGTTCATATGTGATTAATTAATAACTGTGGAATCTTGAATTTGAAAATGCCACTTCCTGAACTCAACGACATACGTTAAGTTATTCTGTATAGTCTACATATTTTTCAAATTATATGTGAAGTCGTGAATCGAAACTGGCCTTTTAATTTAGCCGTTCGCTGGTTCCCTGAAGCGTATATATTCCAACAACAACAAAATTAATTAAAGTTTAAAATAAAAAATGAATAAAGAACAGATAGTGCAGAATATATATTGCTTCCTGAACTGAGTTCGCATGTGATCAGCTGTACGTGGACTCTTGAGTCGAATATCTTGCTTCCTGAACTCGACGAAATTTCTTAACATCGAATTGTGGTTTCTATCACCTGGAATTATATTTAGAGGCTTTTCCCACGGAAAGATCAAGAGGGCCATAATGGATTTGGACTTCATTTGAGATATTAAGGAAAAGATAAGATAAAATTGAATAAAATGGCCGACCATTACCAACTCCAAAGATAGCCGATGGACGAATGGTACCGAGGACAAATAAGATCTTCAAGTTGAAAATTTTACACGCAAAAATCTACTTTTGCATAGATCGTAAGAAGATCAACAGCTAATCAATTAACCATACTCTCATAACACTACTAAAAATCAATTCCTCGTAAGATCAGGACAGCATTAATTACTTTTACCCAGTAAGCATTATAGATATAGATCTATCTCTTCATTGTGATGGCGACTTGACTTTCCCAGGCTTTGCCTCTACGAAGAAAGATAGTTGAAAGTGAAAATAAAGGGAGGAGAGAAGGGAACAAAAGTGACTGAATGTGGAAGCGTCGGTTGTGTGATTTACTAAGTGGAACGGGCCAGTAGGATAAAGAGGAGAAAAAGTATTCTAGTTTTTTTTTCCCTTAATTAAAAAAAAGTAACAGGCTTTGAATACAAGAAGGAAGTGGAAGCCAAAAGAAAGTGCGTAATAAATAGTGCAAGGGTGTGTGGGGTTTGTGGTTGGCAGAAGAAGTATATATAATGAAATGGGAAAGGAGACAGACATTGGATGCTGGGTTAACGAAGAAGAGGAATGTGGAACTAAAATCTTGGGAATTGAAAATGGGGAAGATCTGGTTATGATTATCTCCGGCATTGAATCATTAAAGAGGATCGTTGGAGGAATATGAAATTGTGTTGGAGGAGTAAGTATGTGCTCCGACGCTTATCGAATGAGTGGGCTATGAGCAGTCGTCGCAGATCGAAGCTGTGATCCATCATTTCTCTTTTGTTCCTTTTTCCTCAACTAACCTTCCCTTCCCATGGTGGTAGGCCCCTTCTTTCTCATATTGACGCAATCACGCAACCATATTACACTCCTCCATCAGGTCCCATCAATTATGCTCCTTCACCAACAAATCTATTAATCTGCAAAAATTCTAGCATAAACCCTACTTCATTTCTTCATCATTGTTTTCTCCTAGCTCTGTCCATTCCTCCGCCAAACTATATATTTTCCTATCTATTATGTGATATCTGATATGATTCATTCATCGATTCTTCTTACAACTAATACTATATTCACCGCCAAACTATTGTGTCGGGTGCACTTGATGATGAGCTCACCCACTAGTTTAATTTCAACTCTAGAATTGGACAGAATACATATTTTAAGATCGATGGATTGCTCGAAGATTATATGTGGTGGCAAAGCAAGCATATGCTAGATCTTTTATCCAGATCGATAGATCTTTTATCCAGAAACTGCAACTAGTGTTTGTGGGCGTTTGATGAAATTGCGGCGTTGTTCTGATTGAGTAATTGCAGAAAAATATTATGTGAGATAAAATTAAGAACGGATCGAGATGGGAACGAAAGGTGTTAAAAAGTATAATGATATAATGAAGAAATTAAGAAGAGACTGTGACGAGACTGGCTTTAGTTGCCGTGAACAATGATTTCCCGCGTAGACAAATAGATTGAAGGGAGGGGCCGGGCTTTGTCAATATTCCGGCCTCTTGGATTCAATCTCTCATCATTTCATTATAAAATTTTCTTCCCTTTTAACCACTCGACCCTCCCTTTTTGCTTCCGACCGTCCCACATTAACATGTCGCGACCTGGCCCAAACAAGTTCTTTTTTTTTTTTTTTGAAAGGAATAAAGATTTTCTTTGCAATTTCCACCAACTCGCTCAATGATTCAATAATTAAGGTAATACTCACAGTACAAAAGTTACTCAATATAATAATATTAATTAACACGAAATGGTTGGATGGTTGGATGGACAATCATGCGATAAGAAGGAAGACTTTCAGTGTTTAAGGATAAAA